AGATCGAAAAAAAAAAGTAAGAGCAAGGGCCCGGAGCGCGCTCCGGGCAGGAAAAAAAAAAGGTTCGATGTGGTGGGCCCTAAGCACAGTTCCCACGGGGGAACCTGCTCGATACCATGAGAAATTTAGAACGAGAATGAAATGACTATGAATGAAGTGAGTACAAATAGGAAACTCTAGTTGGGTTGTACCCCCTATGAGATACCCCACTATAGCCTACACAAATAAGTAAGCTATAATATTCTGACAGGCAACGGGAAAGAGAAAGGGCGACGTGACAGAGAAAGGGCGACAAGAGAGAGCAAGGGCGACGGGAGAGAGAAAGGGCGACGTGACAGAGAAAGGGCGACGGGAGAGAGAAAGGGCGACGGGAGATAGAAAGGGCGACGGGGGAGAGAAAGGGCGACGGGGGAGAGGATAGGCGAGGGGAGATAGGAAGGGCGGAGGGAGGGGCGACAGGATGGGCGACGGGAAGGGCGACGGGATCGACGATGGGATGGGCGACGGGATGGGCGACGAGATGGGCGATGGTATGGGCGACGGGATGGACAATGGGATGGGCGATGAGAAGGCAGCGGGACGAGCCACGGAAGGGCGGCGACAGTCGCGTGGGTAAGGGAGGCGAGAGGAGATCGCGTGGGCGACGGGACGGAAAAACGCGGGCGCAAAGGGACAGACTGAAAAGCTTACACTCATAGCTTTCGGATGCAACACGACGGACATTCTGATTAATACATGTGTAGATAACGAGGGCCTAAGTTGAGACATAGCCTACGCCTAGCCTAGCTACTTACGGCAAAACTTCCGACGCAAAATTGGTAGTAGTTCACCCCATCCCAACTTGAAACATCAGTTGGGCCCAAATCGATTGGACAGACTGAAACGATCGCCTGTGCAATTGTCGTGCGGGCTTAGCAATGAGAAGTACGACGTCACACATCAGGAAAATGTCTCAATTTTGGCGGGAACCAACCAAAGGTGTTCGATTTGCACGTCCGCAGCGTTTGAAACGGTACAAACTTCTCAGTCCGTCTAAACTTTGTTTCGCCCGGCAAACTCGTCCCTGCGCCCTTTCAAGTTGGGTTTGGGTTCACTATTTTGCATCTCGGTTTCAAGTCTCTTCTAGTTTCTTTCATGTTGGCATGAATAATAATTAAAAGTTGGTTACTATTTTGCCAACCTGGACCAGCGGCTATTCCGTGTTTTGTGTTGTCAAATGTTCTGGGCACTGTGACCAATACTTGGCGTCTCATGTTTCCCATGCCAAAACATGACTGGTAAATGATTGTTTGGGAGAGATGAGCCATCTCACAATTGTGTACATAAATTCAATGATGTATTGTGGCCCCTTTACAGTCACAGCTCGTTTGGGGATGTTCGAACATTTACACCCTGTTTCGCGCTAGCAGAGCATCTGGTTGCAGAACATGCGCTGGTTGTAGAACGTCACCACGTTTGAAATGGTCTTATCACCGACGGTACAAGCACATTCACAAGAAAGCGGCTAGCTAGGATGCTGCATGGTAAAGAACATTAACCAAGCGTTTCAAAGCGGTTGAAAAGGGTATACAGCGATAAAGAAAAATTTTGCCCCCAGTACCACTCCGTCAGCTGGTGCGGCTTTGCCCGCAGGTTTCAGCCATACGGTTTATGGCACCTTACCGCACTATAGCAGCGAATCGCGCAAGGTGAGAGGGTCGAGAAACAGGGTGTATACGGTACAGCAAAAGGCAAGGCCAACTGTACCCCAGATTCCGCGTCAAATTCCAACGGCCGTCAACTCACATCCAGATTGGTCAAACCTCCACGTTCTCCTCGAATGTGCAGCCTAGGTGTACGGATCAATACACAGCACAGCACTGTACCTCTCGTTTTTTCGGCCACCTTGAGATCTGCAGTTTCATAGCCTGCCCAGACCATTCTATTTCTGTATTACAGCGGTCAACTGTAGTGTACGATGTTTTGTTCTTCTCGAAGGGTAGACAGGGTAATTACCATATGCCACATCCCGGACGGAACCCCCAAATCGCGACGCGCCTATCAATGGCACTGTACACGACCCCCGTCTTGGATGGTGGGCTTCTGCACACCGACTTGTTGACCAATCTCCATCCAACACATGACAAACAAAAACAAGGGAACGAAAGTGATGTGGCCGGGTGGGCGCAAGGGAGTCACAAACACGCACTGTAAACATGTTCCATCTCATCTTTTCGCAAACCAAAATACAGTACAGATTGAGGACAAAAAGGGAGAAGACCATTCAGGGGCCGAACAGTGGCAGAGGGGTGATCGACCAGGGGCCAAGAGGCCCGATATTACCAAACCGCTTCGCATAGAGGATTTAACAAAGAGTCTTCATTTATTTCACGTAATTATGTTACTAGTGGCATGTACCGGCTCGCATTTTCGCTCGCGTGTCGTTTAGCGAGCCGACTCTACCGGGAACTCTAGGGCAGAAAAAAACTAAAACTCATTGGGAACCTGGATGCAATTTCGGGATGGATAAACCCTTAAAAATGAAACTTCCTGGTATTTAGGGTTGATCCCTCCCGAGTCACATCCGTTTCCGAATGGGTAATATATATATAATATTTTTTAATGTGGTTTCCGATTGGGCAGGTGGTATGCATCACCCAGAATATTTTATGTTGTTACGTAATCACGATTTGACACGCCGAATTCAATTCCAGAAGAAGGCGACGCGCGCGCTGTAGTAGGTGGCGGTCAAAACCCTCAATAGATAATAAGAACTCAATTTAGATTTCTTTTAGCAGTTATCTTTTACTTATGGTTCGGCTTGTTTGCCGAGTCGTTTGGTCAGCTCCAGGTTGAAATCCTACGGTCGAGATTTTCCGGCCCTACTTCGATCACCCTTCTGGCACTGTTCGGCCTCAATATGATCTTCTCCCGGAAAAACACGACGAGTGAGAGAATGTCACTATTGTTTTTGTACGTGTACTGTAGTCCTCTCTTGTTCCCTCCCTCTCGAAAGAGGGCAGGCCACTACACCCCCGAAACGGAGATGGAATCGTGCGGAACAGAACGACAGTCGGAACTTGGAAGCATTGGATTTTGGCAGTTCAAGTTTGGCGTTTCCGAGAGGGACGATGTACAGTTGTGAGGTGGGATGGGGTGGTCCTCCCAGTGTGAACGATCCACGTCCTTGGGACAGCGTTACAAGAAAGAAGTTTTTGAATTTCGGCGCCTGACTCTATTCGATCAGTCATCAATATATAGACCGCTCTAGGACGAAAGAAAACTCAGTGAGCCGAGGCTCAGTCTCTGTACAGTATTATACATTCACGCTCCTAGAATTTCCTTTGCCACAAACAACCAGCCGAAACCAATTCAGGCAGCAATCAGGAACTGACCCAGGTGATGCCAAGCCATTCTTCTTGTTGATCCATGATCCAAGGTGTACGACTGCACTTGGTTTGGGACATCAGCATGCCTGTCGTCCTCTCCGTCGTACGATTTGTCGCTAGTTCTCTCCACCGCACCCTCCCACCAACCACGTCAGCCCTCAAGACTTGAGCATCCTCCATTCACATCAACTTTCTTGTGCTGGCCTCCCCCTCACTCCTGCCCTGACTTTTCCAAACCAAACTGGGTCTTTGTGGGGGTTTGGTTCGAGTCCCCGACCTGCCCTGACCTTGCCCCACGACGAATGCACACATCTCCACCAGTGCCAGTCTCCCCTCCCGTGCTCTCAAGACACCGATGTACAGTGTATTCTGGGCAGCAGGAGTGCTGCTGTGCAGAAAAGCGTTTCGCACAACAGGTGGTTCGTTTCGTTACTTCCACCGCCCTCCCTCCTCCCACCCCCAAACCAACAGCATTTTCCGTTTCCCACCACCTCATGTTCATCTGCTCCTCCTCGTCGTCATCCTTCGTCCCATTTCTCCCAAACAACGTTCCCTTTGGATGCCACAACTCACCACCACCACCTAATCCCAGCCGCTGCGCCTCGAGGACCCAGCTCACAACATTCTGACCCGAACTTACTCTAGGTTTAGTAGACAGAGGCTCGGCGCTGCCTGGCTCGCCAAAATCACGCAAAGCTGCGTGTTCACCTGTAACCGGAACCCTAGTCTTGTATCCTTCGCAGAGCCAAAGCTGCCTTCTATCTTAGAATCAATTTTCTGTGCCAAGAAGTCTCAGGTTATCTCTCGATGACGAGCACGGATCACCATCCTGTGGCGGCCCCCCTCCGGCCGCCGCACAGAACGTCCTACTCTGCCGGGAAGTCCGTTACGAACGCGCTTTTCGGTAACCACGCCGACGATGATTCGCCGGGAGCCCTGTCCAGCGTGTACGCGGCGCGTAGAACCCTTTCGAAGGACACGTCAGTGTCGCTTCTTTGTTCTGTAGATGCCGCCGCGATAAAGCAGTTCGAGAACGTGGAAAGAGCCTCTGTTCCCGCAGTTCCCGCCAAGACTGTAAATCTCTCTGCGACCGACTTACTGCTTCTCCTCAGCCCGAGTGTCGCCAATAACGCAAACCTCCACGCATCCACGAACAACCCTTACGGTTGTCGCGAGTGCTCGGGGAAGTTCCCCTCGTTAAATGCACTTAACGAGCACTATCAGGAGGAGCACCAGAAAGAGACCCACCTTTCTAATTCCAACTCCCCTCTTATCCATGGCGCCGGAGCGCTTACGCCTCCTAGCGGAATCTCAGAACGTCTGGATTCGGGATCCCCGGTAATAGAGTCTTCGGTATCGAACAGTGGGCGCACGAAACGCGGCAACGGACGGCGTGTTCTTAGCGGTCCGCTCGAGGCGCCGCGACGACGCACGGGACGGCGCGTCGTGAGTGGGCCCCTGGAGCCGCGGAGAGTCACCGCGCGAAAGACCAGCGGTCAAGCGAGTCCGATGAGTCAAACAAGTCAAGGAACGGGGGAAGACGAAGCCTCACCACCCGCGGACTGGTCTTGCGGAACGCCGAATGGGCGGAAGCGCACACGGATTCCGTCGGAGCCGATTCAGGAATCCGCGATGAGCGGCGAGAGCTCGGAGACGAAAGAAACCGATTGCGTCGCTGGTCCCGCGTCCTCCGCGGGTGGCGCCTCGCAAGTTCTAAGCTCATCTTCTGCCGCTGCGACCGTTGCGACCGCTGCGACCGCTAACAACAGGCGGCAAGCGAAGGGGACCGCCGCCGCAGCCGCTTCTACCACCCCCGAGCGTTCTCCGCCTTCCGCCTCTGTGCGAGGCAGCCCTCCGGATCAGCAGCAGCTTGTGACTATGTTTCAAGCGCTCACGCCGGGCGCGGAAGCTCCGCGCGGAGAGCTCGGCGGAGGAGCGGCGGGCGCGCGGCCGACGACGGCGGCGGCGGCGGCGCAGCCAGGTTCAGCCCCGGCCGGCAAAAATATCTCTGTTCCCCCCCGTCACCCGCAGCCGCACTCGGGGCGAAAGAACGCGGGCGGCGCGGATCGGAGTGGGGCTCCTGGAACGAAAGCAGCAGCAGCAGCGGGTAGCACGGTGGGCGGCGTGGGTTCCGGGAGCTCGGGTGGATCTGGCTTGGGAGGGAGCAGCGCCGCGGATGCAATCGCGCGAAGACGTCCGGGTGAAGAGGGCTCGGCGCTTGCGGAACAACGCGCGCCAATGGAGGGCCTTGCGGAAGTACCCTCGGAAGCACTAGCTGCGGCCGTTATTGCCGCGATCGTGCCCACAGAAGGTGTGCAAAGCGGGTGCAGACACAGAGTCTTTGTTGCATGTTCACGTGAGAGTTTCCACGGGAGTTTTCGTTTCACGGGCTTGTTTAGGGTTTGCAAGTTGGCACGAATAGTCACTCTCGTTTACACCGTTGCCGAGTAACGGCTATTTTTCCTTTATCTCTTTGTTTTTGTGTGTGTGTGTGTTGTTTTATTCCCGCAGGTGCTGTGCCGAAGGGAAATATTGCTTCGGGAACGTCAGGCGGAGCACGCAACTCTCTAGGCGCGTGGTGGAGGTCCGGATCTCGCGGTTCGGTAGGGACAACGCGGTCAGCCGCACTCAACCAATCTCTCGGTACTTCCGCAGCTCAAGGCGCCCTAGGCTCCACGTCGGGAGCAGGCTCGGCAGACCGGTTCTTGGCTGAGCAGAAAGATATTCTCATGGGGGAGGGCGGTGGGGGGAGCGTAAATCCCTTGGTTCAGGCTACGCAGGGTGCTGCCGGGGCTGCTCGGTTTGGTAACACCAATCAGACCAGTTACAGTCCAGCGGGTGACATTTCAGGCAGTAACGTAAGAAATATTGATGGTGTTAATCATACAACAAACAATGCTGGTAACATTGAAATGGCGACGGTTTTGCGTCCGACACAGACCGCCTCCTCGCCGACCCGCCAGCTGTTTCACAGACGAGCAGCGTCGTCGTCAGCAGTTCCGGCAGCAGACTTGGGTCGGGCAGACCTGAATATTGCAGAACCGGCCGCACCTGCCGGCAGCAGCGGTGGCAGGAAGGGCAGTCCGACAAGAACTTCGGGCCTGGGAAATGCGGGGTTTGGGCAGCTGCGAGCGCTAGCGTCTCTGCTGAAGCAACAGCTGCCACTGCTGCAGAAGCAACAGCAGCAGCAGCAACAGCAGCAGAGCCAGTTGGAGCAGCAGCAGCAGCAGCACTTGCAGCAACCTCAGCAGCAGCTGCAGCCTCCACAAGAGCAGCAGCAGCAGCAGCAGCAGCTGTCGACGGCACAGGGGGATCGGCAGGTTCCTGTGCGTCGCTCAGATGTGTTTCAAGTGCAGAAGCTACCGGATGGTCTCCGCGCCCTCTTCCGGTCGTCCTCAACCTCCGGTGCTCCTTCCCCCAAGTTTTCAACGCAGCAGCACCAGCAGATGCAGCAGCAGGTACAACAGGTGCAGCAGCAGCAGCATCAGGTGCAGCAGCAATCACCAGCTCCCAGGGACCCTGTGTCAAGGACACCAGTGCAGCAGCAACACGAGCTTCTTTTGCAGCAGCATCAGCAACTGCAGCAGGAGCAAGTTCTGTTGCAGCTGCAGCAACATTTGCAACAGCAACAGCAACAGCAACAGCAACAGCAACAGCAACAGCAACAGCAACAGCAACAGCAGCAGCAACAGCAGCAGCAACAGCAGCAGCAACAGCAGCAGCAGCAGCAGCAACAGCAACAGTGGCAGCAGCAGCAACAACAACAACAGCAACAGCAGCAGCATCTGCAGCAGCAGCAGCACTTTCAGCAACATTCACAACAGCAGCAGGCAGGGCAGTTGCTGCATCAGAATTTCATCCAAGCCCCAGTCCCCACCATCACACAACCTTGTGCTATCAATGCCCCTCATGGTAGTCATTTCCAGCAACATTCTCTCAACGGTTTTCCTGCCATGCAAGAAGGGATACCAGCCATAGGTGGGGGATCATCCGCTAGTGCAGGCGCGAGTGCAGGTGTAATTGCCAATGCAGGTGGTAGTGTATTCACTAATCCAGGTGCAAATGCATTTGCGAATACAGGTGCAAATGCATTTAGTAACGAAGGCAATATTGCATTCGCTAATATAGGTGCTAATACAGGTGCTAATACAGGTGCAAGTGCATTCACTAATGCAGGTGCGATTGCATTTGCTAATACAGGTGCAAATGCATTAGCTAATACAGGTACGAGTACGTTTGCTACTATGGATGCTAGTGCAGGTGTGAGTGCAGGTGTGAGTGCAGGTGCGGGCAGGCAGAGGTCCCGTGGAGCTTGGAGGGAAGATGGGAGGCTGCTTAGCCTTGGGCTGCCTGATGTGCTGGTCACAGACGAGTCACCAGCATCACCTGCTGACATGAAAATGATGGATCTTGAGCTGAGATTGTAAGAGGAAAGGAACATCCAGTTTACGTAGTATTTTTATTTCCTTGACGTGTACGTACATTCAGCCTTTAAATCTGGATTTTGATGTGGAATCTAGGATGGAATGGAAGATCACTCTTGTTTTATATACCCTTATGATAGTAAAATACCATATGTATTTCTGATTTTGTTGTACCGATAACAGCGCTCTACCTTACAGTATACGTCGCGAAGCTGATTGTATGGCCTCCCCAGTCTTGCTCATTGAAAACTAACGTGCCCCCAATTCGCCCCAATTGAACACCCCAGACTCAAATCGAATCCTGCTCGCTACCAATGGTGCTAGGACAGCTGCTAAAAAGGGCATTTAGCGGGGCAATTAGGGAGGTAACCCAGCAAACGACCGTTTTCCAGAAGCTCTCCGTCGCGTCGCGTCTCTCTCTCGTCCTATTGGCTGAGCTCGCTGGTGTCGTTTCGACCGTCCCGTGCGGCGCGTTAGCACTCCTCCTCTACTCCCTCCTGCGCCTAGCTTCCCGCACCCGCGTTTTCCTCCGCCATTGCTGCCGAATATGGCGCCGGATTTCCCGCCGCGTGGTTCCTCCTCGGTTTTGGAGCCGCGTAGTCGCGACCGTTGCGCGGATCGCGGCGGGGTTGCAGCGGCTGAGCGGGTTGGTGAAAGCCCGCGGCTCGTTTTGGAGCCGGGTGTGTCCCCAACTCTCGGCCTTTCGTTCTCTTCTCCGATTGGCTCGAGTTCACGTGGTTACTGACGTCAGATATGGGCATCGACCGCGCAACATGTAAGTGACTGCCCCACACTACCGTTCTCTCCCCCCACCCCCCCACTCCGTCCTCCCTCCCCTCCCCCTTTTCCCTCCCTCCGACGCCCGCTGCTGTCTTCTTCACCACCCTCTTTTCTTTCTCAATGTGCCCCATCTTTCCGTCCAGAATGGATATTTATCTGCCCAGTTTCCACCATCACCGCAAGCACCACCACCACCATCATCATCACCACGACCGCCATCCCCAGCACGACAACACCGCTGCCACTGTCAGCGAAAACAACAGCACTAGCAGCAGCAGCACCATTACCAGAAGCAGCAGTAGCAGGAGTGAGGGGTGCAGGGTGGTGGTGTTTGTGCATGGGGGATGCTGGGTGAGCGGTGATAAGTGGCTTTACGCTCCCCTTGCTGCCAGATCCGCTGCCGAAGGGGCAATTGCGGTTGTTATTCAATACACCCTCTACCCCGAGGTAAGTCGGACTTGAAACTCTCATGGGCCATTTTCTGATCACGCCGTTTTCTGGGCCAACATTTATGCAATAAATAGGTATACATGTAATATGTTTAACATGTTTTTTCCTTCCAATCCCGCCAGCTCTTAGCAGAGGGGCAGCAGGAGGAGGCAGGTGCGGCCCTCTCATGGGTGTGTGACAACATCCATGGCTACGGTGGCGACCCCACGCGTGTCTTCCTGTGCGGCCACTCCTCTGGTGTGGCTCTCATCCATGCCCCTCTGCTGTACCCCTCCCTTGACAGATAATTTCACGTTAATTCCATTGACAAGTTTTGATTCCCATTTCTTCTAGTCGTGTTGAGCTCCCTTTGACCTTTGTTGACCCGTGCTGATCGTTTTTGGCACCAGTTGAGTCTTTTTGACCCCTGTTGACTCCAATTAGCCCCCTTTGACCCCATTGACTCGCATTGACTTCTGTTGACTCACAGGGTCGCACACGGTGGCCATGCTGATGTGGCGCCGCTTCAAGGAAGGCCTGTTGGGGGCAGCAGACGCAGCAGGCAGGGCAGCGAGGGCGGAAGGGGGGAGGAGGCAAGGAGAGGCAGGGACGGTGGGAGGTGAGAAGGGAGGGGGCAGTGGTACCAGAGAGGCTAAGGAAGGAGCTGCTTATCCAGATCACCATCACATTAAGAGTGTTAATGATGATAATCTTTATCATCAGCCGCAGCAGTGGGGTGAACGGCAGCAGTTTGAAGGGCACAGGGCTATAACAGATACCCGCCAGCCTTACTGTGTGATAGCACTGAGTGGCATTTTCGACCTTCACTACATGCACACGTATACAGTCACCACCAGCACCGCCCCTCTCACCTGCTTTGTCGAAGCAGTCGGAGGCCCAGCGGCCTTTGCGCGAGGCTCTCCTCCGAACCTGTTCTCAGCACTGGCCGAAGCTGTAGCAGCAGCAGGCCTGGAAACGCATGCCACAGCTACAGGAGGGGCCGAGAGTGTAGACACACCTTCATCTGATGCAGCCTTGTCTCTTTTCTTCTCCGAATTTGGGCGGCAGACTGGTGAAAGAATCATATCAGGCATTGTGGAAGGGAGTATAAAGCCTGCTGACTTCCTTCCCCCAATGCTGCTGCAGTGCAGCCCAGGAGATGCATATGCGCCGCCTCACTGCAGCCTCACACTAGAGCAAGCTCTGGGACGCGTGGGTGGTCGAGCAAAGGTTGCGGTTTACTCGTCCATGCATCACGCTCAGTTTGCGTGCCTCTGGAAGCCTTGGCCCCAACCTAAAGGCTTGGCCGAGGCCAAGGCTCGGGCTCGTAAGCGAGTCGGTCGGGTTTGGTGTGGTGATGGGTTACAGAGGGGTGATGTGTGGTTTGGTGGTGAATGGCTGGATTGGTTTTGTAGGTGTTGGGGGTTGGGTGAAGCTGAAAAGGCCAACCAAGACTTGTTGGATTTAGTGGCAGGACGGGTGTTGCTTGGCGATATTCTGCAGGCTCGTAGCTTCTAATCCTGTATGGTGTTTACTTTTTCTTATTATGTCGTTGTCAAATTTCTATGTTCTCAATTTGTATGCTGGGTGTATTTGCTCTTCATTCCGTGTGCACTGTGCATGCCCAGTTTCCGCGTGAGCATGTTCGTGGACGCGGAAACGACAACCTTGCATGTACAGTACCGTACATTCGTGAAAAAGCCGCAATTCTGCTTCGCAGCTGCCCGGCGCGCACGAGACCGTCTTCCCCCTTGTCGCTTCTCAGCGAACAAGCGAGTCCGCCTGGGGGAGCTCGCTGCCCGCGGGCAAACAAAATAAACCCCAGAAGGGCATGCATCCGGTCAGGGAGGCATCAACCCTAAACACGGGGAGGGCATGGATTTAGGGTTGATGCCTCCCTAGGATGGCATGCCATCCGATGGGGTTTTAGTTTTTGTTTCTGCCCGGGGCTGCATGTCGTCAAGTCGTCAGACGGTCGTCGGGCTTGACGACTTGTTTCTGCTGAGATTTTCCGCCTCACGCCGCTCGCTTTACTCACTCAACGGGCAGCCTAATTACAGTTTGGGGACACGTGGGTTATCCCACTCCCCTTGCCTCTATTTTAATAGCGTCTCGTCCGATATGTGCGTCTCGTCCGCTATGTGCGTCGCGTCCCGCCCCGCTCCGCAATGTTAGGGGCTGAGACGTGCTTACGTGACGTGCATTGCTATAGTTGGCGTTTTTATCCGTCGTTTGAGGTGTGGCAGAAGCTGTCCTCCACCATCGTGGAATACATTCCCCGACAGCTTGTCTCTCGCAAGGAGGCATCTTGCATCGCGTATGTCTACAGTGATCCGGGAGACGCTATGTAGTAGGCAATTCGCGCTTGTTTACACGCGAGATTCTATGCGCGTTAGAGGGCGAACTTCTGTAGGTTGACTGCAGTCAACGCGAGGGCTGTCTACTCCTGTGGCGCCTCATTATTGACTCGTTAGGTTGACTTCAGTCAGCGGAGCCGTCAACGGAGGAAACGCGCTGGTGGACCGCGGTGGCGCGGAGCAGGAGAACGGGTTCGCAAGCGGTGGCGGAAGAGCACGCGGAAAGGGAGGCGGAAGGGGAGGCGGAAGAGGAGTTGGAAGAGGCGGCGGAAGAGAAGACGGAAGAGGAGGCGGAGTAGGAATAAGGAAGCTAGTAAGCGGAACGGTCGCGCGGCAGAAATGCTGTCGCAGTCGTCGGGGGTGCCGCACTGGGAGGCCGAGGACGCGGGCGCGCGGGACGCGGCAGCGGCGGGGATGGCGGGCGGAAGCATGGCGGCGAGCGCGCCGATGCTCGCGCCCCTGTACCCGTCAATATCGATGGACGCGCAAGCGGTCGAGCTCGCGTCGTACATTCTCTTCCCGCCGCCGCCCAGCCACGGCTCGCCCTCCCTCCGATCCCTCAACGGTAAAGTTTCCTCCCCGCCGATCCCCCCGTTTGTACTGACTCCTCCCCCGTCCCCGCCCATGTCCTCGCCCCCGTCCCTGAACCAGCCCGTGCCCTGCCCCCCCCTTCCCCCCGCTATCATCCTTCTGCACTTCCCTTTCCTCCTCGTGCCCCCGCGCGTACCGAACGTCCTTCCTCCGCAGCTTCCCTTGCGCCAATGTTTCTCCCCTCTTTCCCGTCGCCCTCCGCGCGCTCCCCCTCTTTCCCCACGCCCACCCCTCCCCTCCCCTCCCCTCCCGCTTTTTCCCCAGGTTCCGCCGGAGGGCCCTCCGCGCCCACTAGCTCATCCGCGGCGGCGCACCTGGCGCGCCAGGCGGAGGCGGAAGAACCTCTGCTATTCGCGGAACGGATTTCCGCGCAGGCACGGGGCGGGTTGGCGGGGGAAGCGACGGGGGGAATCGACGGGCACGTGGGGAGGGAAGGGGCGGAAGGGGGAGCTGAAGGGGTGGGCGCGGGGAGGGCAGAAGGAGCAATGGTAGGGGAAGGGGAAACGGGGGATAAAGGAAACGCAGCAGAAGGAGACGGAATAGTAGGAGGAGGAGGAGGAGGAGGAGGAGGAGGAGGAGGAGGAGGAGGAGGAGGAGGAGGAGGAGGAGGAGGAGGAGGAGGAGGAGGAGGAGGGGAGGAGGGAGGAGAGGGGAAGAGTGAGAGGTGTACCAGCAGTATCAAGTCATTGCAGCTTCTCTCCTCCTGGTCTTCGTCCCCCCCACTGCCCCCCCATCCACCTCTGCACCGCACCCCCTCCCTCCACCGCAGTTCTCCCCTTCACCGGGAATTATCCCTCCACCGCAATTCGCCCCTGCACAGGGAGCTATCCCTGCACCGCTCTTCACCGCTTCACCGCGAGTTATCACTCCAGCGCGGTTCACCCCTCCTCCGTGAGTTATCCCTGCACCGGGATTCCCCTCTGCACCGTGAGTTATCCCTGCACCGGGATTCCCCTCTGCACCGTGAGTTATCCCTGCACCGGGATTCCCCTCTGCACCGTGAGTTATCCCTGCACCGGGATTCCCCTCTGCACCGTGAGTTATCCCTGCACCGGGATTCCTCCTTGCATCAGGAGCTCTCTCTTGCGCACCACAAGCCCTCCCTGCAGCGCCACCAGCCTGTGACAGCGCTGCTGCAGCAGCAAGACGGCGGTTCTCCCTCTGCTCCTTCTGCTGCTCTTGCTGCTGGCACAGCTGCCACTGCTGCTGCTGGTGCTGCTGATGCAGGAGAAGCGGAGCAGAAGGGGCAGGGGGGGCAGCAGGCTTTTGCCGAGCCGCTCGTAACAAAAGGGGAGGCTTCTGCTGTGGGGGAGGGGGAAGGCGGACGTGCAAGCATGGCAGGGGCGCAGGTGCAAGGGGGTGTGGCGCGCGGGGAAGGGGGAAAGGGAGGGAGCAGCGGGGAGGAGGGCAGAGAAACGGGAGAGGGCGGAGAGAGAGCGGGAGGAGGGGAAGGGGAGGGGGAGGGGGATTTGAGGTCTCTAGATCTGCATTTTGTGCCCTCTGCTCCCCGCTCTATCTTCCGCTTTGACTCTTACGAATTCAGTTTTTTCGGGCCTACTGATTCTGCAGGCTCGGGGGCCACTGTTGCCGGACCTGGCAGTCTGCTTCGGGGGCTCAGTGGTTTGGGACGGCAGCTGTCTATTAGCTGTGCGGAGCGGTTGCCGGAAAAGGTGGGGGGAAGGGGCGCACTGGGGGGAGGGGCGGATTTGGGGGAAGAATGGGAAGTAGGGGAAGGCGCTATTGCAGGGGGAAAGGGATCGGGGGAGCATGGGGAGGAGCAGGGGAAGGGAGGGCGAGAGGGAGGGATAGAAGGCGGATGGGGGAGGGGGAAGGACGGGAATGGGGCGGAAGGGGGAGAGCTTGGTGGTGTTGAAATGGGCGGCAGTGGCATGGGGATGGGCGGCAGTGGTGCTGCCTTGGCGCGCACAGGTGTTGGTGTGGGCGGCAGTGGGACTATAGGTGCGACGTGGCGGCGAATCATGGGGAATACGAGCAAGGAAGGTGGGCTGTATGATGGTGGCAAGGCTGGTGCTGTGGGTGTGAGCACAGGCGCAGGCACAGGCATGGGCATGGGCGTGGGCATGGGCATGGGTATAGGCATGGGCATGCATGGGGAAATGGGGGAGGGGATAGTTCGTACTGACAGTTCATGTCTTGATGCTGTTGTGAACCCCCTCAGGCGTGTTGCGTTCGAACCCCCTGCTGCTGCTGCTGCTGCTGCTGCTGCTCGTGCTGATTCTGCTGCCACCGCTCCTTCAGCTGTCCCTGCTACAGCTGCCCCTGCTACAGCTGCCACTGCTACAGCTGCTGATCCTGGTCAAGACACCAGCATGACCACAGCAGCGGCAGCAGCACCAGCAGCAGTCAACGCCTCACCTCCTCCTGCTCCTCCTGCTCCTGCTTCTGCTCCTGCTCCTTGTGCTGCTGCCACCAGCACGGCTGCTGCCACCAGCATGGCTGCTGCCACCAGCAGGGCTGCTGCCACCAGCAGGGCTGCTGCCAGCAGCAGGGCTGCTGCCAGCAGCAGGGCTGCTGCCAGCAGCAGGGCTGCTGCCAGCAGCAGGGCAGCCGATCCCCCATTCACCTTCACCACCAAGCAAAGCCGCAGCCCCACTCCCCCTCCCGCCTCCCTCCTGCCCTCCCTCCCCCTCTCCCTCCGCATGCGCCCCCCCAGGCTCATCCTCCCCCCCGACCACTCCC